ACTCCAGCAACAAACCTGTATTGTATCAAGACATTCAGTAATGATTAACTTTTAGTTCCCAAGCAGAATTCCTACTATCACAACTTGGTGATTTCAGTTAGACAGGGATAAAGAGAGAGTTAAGGAAGGCTGGAGTCAGGGTACCCTCACCACTCCTTTTGCATTTTAAGCTTTATGTGCCTCACTTTTCATGAGTCATCCTTATGGCCTACATCCCTAGCAGTGCCCTCAAACTGGCACTCACTCCCCCCATCTGCTGCAGACACTGCTGTGCTGGATTATAAAGAGTTCAATATGTATTACCTTCAGGGTGTTCAGGCATGGTCAATGCCAGCCAACTCATATCCATACTAAACTGGCTGGTAATGCTGGAGTTTCTGCTTGAAAATCCAATACATGGAATAGTGCCAATCACCAGAGGCATTTCAATCATCAATTTCTTAGCACCAGGAATATGGATATACACCTATGTGACAGCCCCCAAATAAAAGAAAAACACATCATGAGACCCCATTGATTGCTGTTCTTAAGCTGCCCTACTCCCTATACTGCAGAGAATAAAAAGATTAACTTCTCTTTAAATAATAAACAACATGACAAACATAATTATGCACTTGACTTTCAGTTCTATTTTCCCATTTCTGAAAAGAATCACTAGAGGAACCCATTCAGCTTGAACTACTTGCCCTTAATAACCTTTCTAGGCCTAAAATAAAGCTGCTTCTTACACAGGAATATTTTTCCATTTCCCCCATTATTCCCATCTTTCCATATCAGAATCTCTTCATGATTTTCAGTCTCTCATCTCTATGGTTTATTATATTTATTTATCATAGAGTTACAGAATAGTTTGGGTTGGAAGGAACCTTAAATATCACCTAGCTCCACCCCCCCTGCCATGGGCAGGGACACCTTTCCTAGATTTATATTTACTATTGCTCCCAAATTCAAAATGTAATAGCTACTCAGTAAATTCTTTTCCCACCAACTCAATGAAGTATCCAAAGTTTGTCCATTGAAAACCCAATACTCACAGCTAATGAATACTCTACTCTAATAATGCAGCAGTCAAGTATAGAGGGGGATACAGGTGGGATTTTCAGAGTTTTCCCATTCCAGGTATCTGTACTCCCAGAGGCAATGTGGTTTCCTCGGACATTGGCAACCATCTGACGGAAGGTTTTTGTCTTCCCACTGGCCAGGTAGGTTTGTGTTTGGAAAATGGCAGCTTTGGGAACAATCAAACGAGAGGAGCAGTTCTCAATTTCTGCATAGATTGGTATGGCTTCCCCTTAAAGAGAGAAAAAGTCCAATGAATAATTTGTATTTACCAACTTTCCTCTGGGAGTATCAAAGCGTGTTCCAGCACGTACATCATCTGCAGTGTTGTGAGAACAATACTTGTTAAGTTTCCTCAAGCTAGTTTATTTTTCTCAGAGTGGTATCCAGGCAGAATTATTGCCACCTACTATGTTCTACATATAAACAATGATTCATTTTGAAACATTAAGCATAATATGAACAAGCTATAAAAGCTTTATTTGCAAATTAGGCCCCAATCTACTTTTTATATACCATATAAATGAATTTCAGGATGGTTTGTTTTATTTCTTCAATGTACCTAATGTTATCAAGGTGACAAAGAAGCTGCTAAATCTCATTCTTACAGAAGTGTAAACCTACAGGAAGAGGATATAAAAACGTGATCAGATGCCCAATGAAATATTTTAGCCCAAATAAAAGCCATTTTGTTGTTCTTTACACTCATATTTACATGGCTTTTTCATGAGATTACTAACAGAGCTTTCTTTTAATTTATATTCCCAAGAGAGGAAGTGATGGGAAAGGCAAGGTGATTTTTGTTCAACCAAGTTCATATAGATCTTAATTTATTCTTACTAAACAGAACTAATATTTCAACTATAAAGTGTTGGTTTCACAGAGAAGGAAAAAAATCCTATTAGATGTTTAATATTTACATTTTGAAGATAACTACTCTTACCATTACAGTATCCCTTCCTCTCAATTTTGGCACTGAGAGACACAGGTCCAGAGGTGAAAAACCAACAGCCAACCATCTTCTCCTGACTTCTTAGAACAGGCGTCTATAGAATATAGAGTATTTTTCATTTTCTGGGATAAAGCTCTCGATCACTTGCAATTTAATGTCATGCATATCAGTCATTGCAATCCAGCCCTAAAATCCACTTAATAATCCACTGAACTACTCTGTGCAACTGGAGTTTTGCCACCATGTGAAATGGAACCAAGGTTTGGCAATCTGAAGATGATTGCTTCAAAATCCCAGTGTGCATTTAGACTGTATCAACTCAGTAACACAGAGACCAACGTGTCTTTAAATGTGATCTGCCTTCAAAAAGAACTTTTTTAAGGACTCATGGAGTACTGCGGTTTTTATCCCCATGTTCCTCAGTGCAGGATGGATTTCATCTGCAAACAGCTAATAGTTAAGCAGGTAAACTTTTTTGGCCTTTGTATCTTTAAGAAAGGATAAATGGCTACACACTGAGCTAAGGTGATGAATCTTCATTGCTTGCAAGCCACACAACCCTCAAAAATTTAGGCTCATAACAAAAACCATCTTAATTACTTAAGGGCTGTCCCATTAGATGACATTTACACTGTCTATGTAAAGTTTTCATTAGAATTTACAAGCACACGTGTCAAGGGGCCAAGCCTGAATCCAAGCTACTTAAAATTACTGACTGGGCAGTAGTGCACAGTCAATATAATGATGAAAATTGGGCTTAAATTTTTTCATTAGAATGAAAAAGTATTTTATTTTGCACTTTTGGTGGTAGCCTTGGAATTCACTGAGTGGCATTACCTACTTTACATTCCCCACAACCCTCTCCTGTGCAATAGCCTATGGTCTGCTCTATTCCTGAAGGTGCAGGATATGCTGCCTTCAAACTCCTGACATTGTTGAATATACAGACTGTTTCTGCTTACAAATGTCGCTGGCAAAATTAACTTCTCTCTAGAAAAGATTAAAATGTAAGCACATAATGAGGGGGGGAAAAAAAACAACCCCTGCTCAAAACATCTCTTAGCTACATTCACGTCACAGTGAGATGTTAAAATTAGCCAAGCATTTAAAATAAAATAGAAATTACTCATTCATATTTAAATGAATAACCATTTAGATCTAGTTGCCATCATGAAAGTGCAAGGTATAATTTTATATTATTTTCATAATATGGGTTGAGATAAAAGAATTCAGCTCATTAGCTTCCATCTTGCCTATTTTCTCATTACTTAATGCCTGATCTTTCTTATTACTCTACCGTATTTCCAGTGATTATTAAAAACTCAATGCTTTAATGTGGCAAAATCTGTCATAAGAAAATAACTGAAAGGCTCTCTGGAGCAGCTGCATGCACACACTTCATGTTAGAAAACGACATGCAAAATGGAGGGATATGTAACATAATGGCCTGAGCATAAATGACAGGCTGGGCATGATTAATACTCTTCTCTAATTACTGTTCCTCAACCTACTATTATTGGAGAGTTTAGGACACTGCAGCCCTGTGAATGTAGTTGCTCTGGTAAGAGTAGCTACTCTACACTCGTGCATTATTATTATTAAGCCTTATTTATGCATCTGAAGCCTGCCTAACTTTTTGGCAGGAGCATCTCTGCCAGCAGGGATGTAATCAATGGTATTAAAAAAGCCACTCTGTTTGCTATTCACACAACCTAAGATCATCTATTTATAGAGAAAAGCTTAGGGAGCTTATATGCTTTCAGAAGTCAGAAAATGACACTCCAGAATAACATGGAAATGGTTATGGCTGGATGTGAATGCTGCTTGGAAAGGGTTGTTTTGCAGCTGGCTTTGAAGGGGGAGGAGGAGTGGAAGACCCTCTTACCAAGAGAGCTGGTGAGCTGACGTCAATGTGGCTGATGACCTGGAGCTCTGTCTGCACACTCTGATCAGGTGCTGCAGGTCTCTCCAGAACTGCTTTCACGTAGTACTGGATACTGCCATACTTCCCAGTAAAAGAGGTCACCAGAGGTCTGAAACAAGGAGTCATATAAGCATTACCCTTAATTAATATTCAGTTCTAAAACGTGAACACTTCCTGCCCACATAAACATTGACCAATTTACAGCTTATACTTTCAGGGCCTTGGGGAAACTAAAGCACACAAGGCATGTGTGTGTTTGGGGCTCGATTAAGACAAACATATAAGGCTGATACTAAAAAAAAAACACAAGTCAAATTACATTAAGTCAATGTTCCACAACCAGCAGTGTCCAGCACAATCCCTTCAGGTTGGATTATTTAACTTACTCTTGAGGGAGCTGAAAGCTGAACGGAAATTCGTGTCTTCCATCTAGGAGAATTAAATTTTCCTCACCTGTAGGATGAAGATGAATAATGTGTTTTAGTCGGTTGTTCCACGAATAGAACAAAGCAGAGGCTTCTACAAATTATTTATGTATAAAAACACCCAGATGTAAGGAACTAGGAGAAGTTTTTATTGATCCCAGTGGGTCCTGGACTGCAGCCCATACTTTATTTATACTGTGATGTGATTTCAATGAAGAAAAAAAATCAAGGAAACACAGAGACCTTGAGATTCAGTTCAGGCCTGTGGCCAATTTCTAATCCAAAATGGCTTCTGCACAGCATAAAGTAAGTTTCTTTTCCTTTTCCAGCAGGACAGCAATTAATCTACTTTTCCAATTAACACTGAAACTAACTTTTGTGCTAAAAACCTGCAATGTAAGGTCAGTGTGAGGAAAACTATTAATATATGTGCTCCTAATATATTCATAGAGGGCCTACTGTTACACAATTCCAAAGGCCTAAATTCACCTTCCCTACAGATCAGCCTGAGCTGCATTTCACCCTCAGAGCACAAAACATCATGTTCTGACTTTAATTTTTCAACACTGCAGTGTCCGAGGGACAGAGCTCTGCACCACTGAGCTCCCTCAGGCAGCAGCCTCACTGCTTCCAGGACCTTCCACGGGAGCTTCCCAGCTGTGCTTACAGAGGCACAGCCCACACGGAGGGGCCTGACGGGACTCGCAGCGGGGATTAACCTCTGCAGGAGACCGAACTGCAGACTCTGCTGCTCACTGCCCGCGTTTGCAGCCGAACGCACAAGGAGCACAGCACGGAACACACAAGGAATACAGCGAGGAGCGCAGCAGGGAA